GCAGGGTAGTTACTCATACGCCATGACTTCGATGGTGAGCATTTCTGTTGGAACTACTTACATATCGTCACCTGAAATGCAAAATAACGCAAAATCGTCACTGAAATGGAAAAAGTCGTGACACATTTTATTTTGTCATAAAACGATGTGGGGAGTTGTAATTCGATGATGGATAGCAATCAAAAAGTGAATTTTGAATTATTTATAAGTTACGACTTTTTGCATTTCAATGACGATGTTGTTACGTTACTTTGCATTTCTGGTGACGATATTGGTTATGTGGGCAGAAATATTTTTGCTTATGTTAACAGATATGAAAATGCCGAAGGATTATATTCAAATCAAGCTGGCTCTTGAAAATGAAAAGCGTGGGGCGCATGCAATAGACCTGAATTGTATGTATCTGGGTATATGAAAATTTTAGGTCTATGTTATGTAGTTTGTCAATTAAATCTTTGCTTTGTATTGCATGTGCTCCTCGTTTTTCGTTTTCAATCTCATAAATTATTTATAATAACTTTTGCGAAAATTTCAAAATCAAAAGTTATCAAAACAAATTCTATGGATCTGAGAAATATTATTTTCTAATTTGTAGTCCATTTATAAAAGCATGGTATGTTAAACAGTTTTTTTATTTTAATTTTATTTTTATCATTTATACTTGCAACCATGCACTTTTAACATGGGCTGGCAGTACTTTAAGACCATAAGAATTGGCAAGCAACCTTCAATTCATTTTCTATGTACTGTAAAAAAAAAATCTGTGAAAACCTTAAGTCATTTGAAGTATGTTGAGTAACCGGTTTTTTTTTGGCATATTTAATTGTTAAAAACGCAAAAACAAGAACGCTGTTCAGCAGCCAGCCCTCCGAATCTCGATTTATATATTAACAAGCTAAGCTCACAAAAAATTTCAATGGATCTGAAGTGTGATGGGTTTTTTGGTCATGAGCTCTCCGTCTATTCTGCAAGTGGGCCTTATAGATTAAAAAATTTATTTTTACTTTGCCCTTGTACTGCCCCCTACTTGCTCCCTTGGCGAGCAGCTCACTTTCAGTAGCGTTGGGTTGATATGTATGATAGAAAGTATACACAATATTTAAATGCCTATTGGGTATTCCACTGTCACGGGTGAGACATCTGTACAAAATGTAATTTCTTTTTTTAAATTTAAGCACAAAATACTCAACAATTTTATATTTTGATAAATCTACACCCAATTAACTTCTTTCGGAAGCACAGTACTTCTTTTTTCGCTCTTGTACTTCGTAGTACAGTCAAATGTACTTCTTTGCAATATTTTGTACTTCAGGGGGCGGATTCTGTAACCAGTTAGCGACAATTTTCCGATCGCTATCGCACTTTCTAACGCGTGATATAAATTTTTTTGCACCGGGGACCGATGGAATCATGCCTGCGCAGCTGCAAAGGATGTCGTGCAATTGGTTGGGGGGGTGGAACGTTTGCACTCAGTGCAGAGTCAATAGGTGCACTCCGCAAGGTGGTGTTCTCTCTCCCCGGCTCTGTATTGCGGTTGTAAACGACCTTCCAAAGGAACTGGAAAAAGTGTGTTTGTCGGGTGATCGCCTATGTAGAGATGGGAGTTTTGGTTGAGCGACGATTTCTGTTCACCCCTATCTGGCTCAAGGTTACCGTAAACAGGTAACTAGGTGGGTGACAGGTAACATGATCAACAGAAATAAGGTCAATTCACACTATTTCGCATACTGGTGCGAAATAGAGTTAATTGGCATTATTACCTTTTCAAAAACGAAATAAAATCCATTGATATTATTGCCTTTTTAAACATTAAATTTGCGTAGCTTCGCGGCGGCCCAAGGAGCCCTTGTCTGGTGGAACTCACTAGAGAAGGCTACACTTGTAAAACAGGATTTAGCGGAGCATTAACCACACCTACACTGGCGTTTAACATACATATGTTGAATACTGCGCCTGCGGATATTGCAGACAGAATTGTCGCAGCACGACATGGTATTCATGCCGTGGGACAAGGAATTTCAACTGATCCTTTTGTATCAGCTGTCAAGAAGAAGATTGAGTTGAATCATCTCCACACTTTCTTTCAGACTGTCCACAGGTTCGGGAGGTTAATATGGAAGCATTTTGGCTGGCACTTCTAAACAAACACTGAGCTCTCAAAATTTCGTAATCGGCTCGCGGCGTTAACTTAGCCCAACCCAAGCTGTACTTCTTTAAGCTATGAAATAGTTGGTCACATTAGTAATGGGCGAGTCCGCGTTCTCCCCTCCTCCCCTGCGCCTACCACAACAAAGCTTATCAGCCCTGTAAAATCATCAGTAACTTCACTGTTGAATTATTCTTAACCAACTATGTGGAAACTAAAATGTAATTGTGGTAAACATTTGCAATGAATTTGTAACATTATGTAAAAAACACGAAACACAAACTCAAATAATTAAATATAACACCTTTTACCTTTTTTTGTCACGGGTGGGACAAGGGCAATACTGCTTACTAATAACTCATAAAATATATAAAGCACTCACACAATTTAATCTATAACACAATTTTATTAATAGCAGGCATTTTCTACTATATATTTTTCTTAGCAATTACTTTAATTATGAATCGAAAATTATTTGACAATACTTTCAACATAACTCACTATAAGCTCACCCAAAAAATTGAATTAGAACTTTATTTCCTAACGTAAAAAATTTAATTAAAATGAATTTAAACCTTTAAATTGTTATTTTTTGGTTTATTCAAGATTTTTACAAATGTCTTATCCAGACGTTTGTTAGTTTTATAAAAAAAAATAATAATTTTTGCACTAACGTTCATTTCTTCATGGAACCTCCCCGTCCTTGTGAATCTGTAATATTTTTTTTTTAATATTCCTAAAAGAAATATTCACTCGAAAAGGGCTACTTATCCTGGTATATATGGATATTTCCAATCTGGCGTTGCGTGACGCTCGTATGGCAAAATGTTAAAAAAAAAAATAAAAATTTAAAAATTAAAAAAGGGGTTTCTAGATTTGCAAAGCAATTAAATTTTCCCTTATTCAGTAAAAAAAATTACAACTGTTGGTAGTGGAGATTTTTTTATTAAGTTATAAATTTATTAATTTCAAGGACTTAAAATATTATTTAGTAAATACGCGCTGGCGTGACATTACAAAAAATAGAAGTGGATTTTTACTTGGGTTCAAGGCATATCAAACAGGTATTCGAGAAAAAAAAAAACATTTGCGTGTATTCTGTTATTGCTTCTGGTATCGAAACTGTCAAAAACTCCTCTAAATTTTGTCTTCTAAATCAAAGCGGTTATATGAAATAAAACAATGAATAAAAAATAAATAAAACTGAAATTGAAAAAAATAAAAATTGTTGCAAGTTTAGTAAATTTATTTGCTTCTCGGATCATTTATACATCTTTTGCAAGGCCCAGTAATCAGCGGTTGTGCTGCTGAGGTGGGCGAACGTTCCAAAACGTGCTATTCAATCGCTTGTTTTGTATGGAAAAAGGTTTCACATGGGACTACGTAGATTTTAACAATTTAGAATTTTTGTGAGAAAAATTAAAAATATTTGACACAAATAATAAAAAATGAAATCAGCTGCTCTACTGATACTACCTGTTCTTTGTTTAGGTTGTAAAATTGCAATACTTTGGGAATTGGGCAGACCATTTGTATAAAAGTTTTTGTAGTATTATTGGAAATGTTTAAGATTAATTTTCCAAGCTTTTAAATGTAGAAATCTTTTCTGCTTTATGTTTAATCAACTGAATTATCTGACATGACGTTACCTAGCGTTACGTTACGAAAATTTCCATTGAAAAAGTTTTGTTATTATTGTTCTTGAAAGAATTTTATATGTAAACAAACATGCATTTAATGTAGAATATACTTTTTATTTTGACATCCGGGCCACAAGCGGTTCCATTTTTGGCTAATCTGTGCTTAATTATGTGAAAAATCAGAGCATAAATAGGGTTTTTCAAAATATGTATCTCGATACTGGCGCCACCTAAAGAGAAGCAAGAATATTTATGCTTACGTAACCAGTAATTATTATGAAAAACGGCCAAATCGGCCTATAAATTAGTTAAATATAAGAGTCTTAATTTTTTTTACGTGGTAGACTTTTCGCTGGAATCGCCCATATGGTTTAGTGGAAAATTTGTTGACTGCACTACTTCTGAAATTAATGAAAATTTTTACATTACCACTAAACTCATTAGATTTAGTGAAAAAAATTCAAATACCACTAAAGGCATTAGTATGCTACGCCCATGTCTGCCCATAATACACTGAAAAACTTGGGTGGTGATATTTTTTTTTTTTAATTTTTAAAAAGAAACCATTTTTTGTAAAGATCATAAGACCAGCATAGCCATTTTGAATCTAGATATGTACTACGGTTTTATTTTTTTAAGTTAGAACTTTTTTTTAGCTTAAAAATGTGATTTTAATGCTGAGAAAATGCGTGACTCTCTTCATTCAAAACCGGATGGATGGATTTACTTGAAACATTTGGAATATTTACTAAAGTTTTGTAGTGCTGCCATCTATTTAAAAAGTTATTTGGAATTTCGACGTCTTAACGCCATGCGGGTTCACTATTTAGTTAACTTTTCGTAGGTAAGAGTTACCTAAAAGAAATAAAATTAACTCAGTTCGGTATATATGCCGATATTTTTCGGGCATCGATACTTTCTTTCGATACTACTTCCAAGTGAAGGTATCGAAACCTGCATGGTGTCGTTTCATCGCTCCATACCAAGTTCTAGTACTCTTTCAGAAATATTTCCAGATATATGCAATATGAAAATTCAACAAACAAAATCGGTAGAACCATTTCTGTAGCCTTGCGAACAGGAAAAAATCCTTTCAAAATAAATATGCATATCTATATAGTATAAAATACAAATTCATACAGAGCTACAACTTACATATGTACATACATATATTCAAACCCTCCATAAATTATTTTCTTTCTTTTCCATTCCAGCTATTGCAGCACCTTTCGAGTATTTCGATGATCACGACCAACTCTCCTATGACTTGGATACCGAACAGTCAAAAGCTAAATATGATACACGTTTGCTGTCTGAGCAAATGCTGAAGTCGGAGAAATCCACCGAACGTTATGAAAGTGCTGACAGCCACAGTGCTGGTGGTGGGGGAATTGGAGAGAACGTTGTTGCCAATTCGGAACTAGATGACGACACTGAGACGGAAGCCGATGCGGACGTAGATGATTTGCAACCGCATGAACGTGCGGCATCATGTCACAACAATGGCCACAAATATACACACGGTCAAAAGGTAAGCCACACCAAAGCACACAAGTCCTAACTAAAGCAAACAATTACTTGAAATAGCAGTTTAGCATAGCCTTTCGGAAATTAAGGAAGAAAGAAATTTAAATAAAAGTAGAGCAAGAAGAATTATTTTATTATATACTTATAATAACATGCGTTATGTGGTGGCTAGATCAAATGTTTTATAGTCAATTAAGTTAGCCCTAAGTAGCACACGGATGTACAGATTGGCGCAAATACATGAATTTTGGTACAAATCTTATTAGGTTGTACTTGATGCGTCAGTAGAAGAAAAAATTCCTTACACCGTTTCGCTCCATGAACCTAAGCCATATTTTAATTTGAGATAATTTGAAGTTTCCTGGATGCAAACTGCAGTTGCGAGACACAATTTTCCTTACAGGGTATGCCGGTTAAGTAAAAGGAAAGGAAAATCAGAATACACACGTGTGCAGAGCAGCTCTTCACGTTTGACATGTTTTTGTGGCATATGTTAGCCTGCGAATAGTGACCCCATAATTCATCGTCTTGACTTCTCTAATCCCATACTCCCAAATGTACACAGAAAAACTCAGGTTCGTGACATTCTAATGTACGTGCATTCATATGTGTGTAGTACATACATACGTACTGTGGTCAGAGCAATGCGGCTGTCACCACCACCACTTTCGGTGCTTAACTTCCCAGCGGCACTTGACTTGCTGAATCACTGATTCGTCGCCACCAGGTTTGGTGAGTGTGTTCTACGCAGTTTCAGGTGGAAAAAATAGATGCTACCTTTGGCAGTTGACATATTTTAACGGCACATATACAGCTATGGTCAAAGATTTAGCATCAAAATAAACATGTATGAAATCCGTGTGGGCATACATATTTATCATTATACATACATAAGCGCATAACTTCATATACTATAAACAGTGTTGCCGTTTTGATCCATATACTTTAAGAAGATACTTTATTTTTTTGCTCATTTCGCGAGATACTTCAAATTTTCGTGTAGTACAAATTTTGATGCATGTTAAAGAGAAAATATTAATGTTAGTATGCAGTGGCAGCTTTTAAAATTTGATCGAAGATATTCAAGCGTTTTGGAGCCAAATAACTATGTATAAAGAGCTGACTTCATTAATTTTTAATTTTCTTTATTTGCCTCATAAGTAGCTCTGCTGCTGCAGAGAGTATATTTTCAGATTTAAAATTGATCCACTATGAATAGAGAAATAGAATTTCATTACAAACTATTGAGAATATGATGAAGCGTATTCATAGTAAAAATAAAGTCGACACTGAAGGCAGTCTCAGCTTTTTGGCATAATTTCCAAGAGTTTAACGTGGAATGTATCACATAATTTGATAATTAACGTAAATGATCGACAGTTCATAGTTTTAAGTATGTGCATATATATGTGAATTCAAGTTTCTATAAAATCTATACATAATATATTTGTTCGTCTCTATACAAGATTAAAAATAAGCATCCCTTTTTTTTAGATTGTCACAGTATGTAAAATATTTTTCTTTATGCACACACATATGTAGGTGTGTGAACGCGAATTACATGAATTTTCGGTTATTGATAATAATAAAAAGCAAAGATATTGAACCAAATAGCATTTGTTTTAGTTTTTTCTAACTTGATACTTTGATACTTAAATAAAAATTTTGTGATACATTTGATCCATTTTTTGTTTCTTTTACGATACATTTTTTCATGACGTCGCGGCAACACTTACTATAAATATACATAGATAAGTACGCATATGGGCAAATCTAAAAAACAGGTACACTTTCATAACAAAACGCACCGTGTATACCGCCTATTAAAAACTACATACAAAATTCGTATGCTTTTAATATTTTTTTGAATAAAAACATCTACATACATATAACTCAAAATTTATGCAACAAATTGATTAAAAATTTTTTTGAGGCTTCAAATATACGTCTATGAATTATATCTAAAAGCTTGATATATTTTACAACAATGAAAATTAAGCTAAATAACACAAAGGTTACCTGTTTTTTTGATTTGCCCATATACAAATTTGGGTTCGAGTTTTCTTTTTCATAAACAAAAAGTCAAAAAAAAGTAATTTTAAATTACCTACAGAGAGATACAAAAACCAGAAACTATATTAACAAATTATATACACGATGACAATCATAACACAAATAATTTGCAACAAACACTTCATTTTGACAAACAGCAAAATTCGCCTCGAAATCAACTACTCCGGTAACACCACCTTGTATGAATTCGCCTTGAAGATGTATTTAATAATGAGAAAAAATTCGTTAATTTTTTAACTTAATGGAATGCTCTTTTTCCGCTTTGAATTGCAAAATGAATTAAAGAAGTAGAGAAAAACAGGGCCTAATATTTTAGAGGTAAGAAGAAATTGGCTCGACTGCAAAAATACGTAGTATTTTCGTATAAACTTTAACACATTTAAACGGTGTCAAGCCAGGGCTCAACCACCATTCGATGACAATTCAAAAGGATATTAATGAATAAAGTCAGGCATTTGTTTTAATTCGATTCGTTTTCATTTGGTCTAATCCTTTTGGGAACACTCTTTGACCCGAATTGCAAGTTGTGAAACTGTTTTGCCAATATTCACGTTACGCTGTTTGTAATAGCGCCAACCAGATTTATTATGATTGATAACTTATATGAAAATTTTAATGTATTGCAGGTGCCACGAATTGATCCATGTGAAGTGTGCCTCTGCATGGATGGCGAAATATTTTGCTGGTGGGAATTATGCGGTAAGTGTAAATGAAAAACTCAAACTCTAAACTTTAGCAAAAATGTTGCATCAATACGAAATATAAATAATGTATTTACACTGATAATTTTAAAACAAATGAAATTCTAAAAAAAAACAAGTCTGTTTACGCGATGGCCGCAAAAAATTCAGACCTGGATACCTCAGCATTACATGTCAACTAACTTCCCCGTCGGAATTTCAATTACTTTGAAAGCAATTTAACAAGTACTTTTTTACCAACCATACGTAGTTTGAATTCTTCCTTTTTTCTTGTAAGCAACTAACGTTATTAACAAGGCGATGTCCTAAAACCAAGTTAATTATCCGACGCTGCATATGTTCCAACTACTTTAAAATTCATAAACTGCACAAATAGTTTGCTTCCAACTACTTTGTCAATTGACTAATTTCTGAGACAAGTCAGTTATTTCCGACAGGTGTATAACTAACTTCTTTTGGACATGAAATGTCAATAAAAAACATTTTGTTGCTTTTATTTTCTATTTTTTTTTTTGCATTCTTATTTATTTAATTTACATTCAAACAAATGGTTCACTTAGCAATGAACAATGCGAACTTGACGCAAAAAGTTTGAATGGAAAACTTATCGTAAAGAAAATACATTTCATTTCAAACATTCGCGACGGGAGCGTCAAGTCTGACAAAGTTAATTTTTCTTTTACTACTATTATTATTTTTTCATTTTAATATTAATATGGAATTCATTTTTACGTTGCATACATACATACATACATTTTTGATTGAGTGATTTTTATTATTCTGAAGTTTTCTTTTATCTTTTTTTCCTTGATTTGCCATGCGAAAGCAATGAAGTGGCTAAGCGGATCATAGACGCTTCATTGGACAAAGTCGCTCTCTAAAGCAACCTATTTTTGGCAATCAGCACATTAGGCAACACATGCTGTTGGATTTCTTCAAAAACCTGTCCCACTCCATTTTTAAGAGGCTGAATTGAGTGCAAAAGACAATTAATGGAAAGTAAAAATGGCACAAAACGCATGACGAAGTTTTATTTAAGTCGTAGGGAAAAAGCTTATAAACTTGTTACTTAGAAAATCTCTTAAGCCCAAACAACGTATCTTTCAAATGTAGGCCCAACGGTTAATTAATACAGGTCAGTCCTAGGCGGCTACTCTGTAATGCGATACGAAAAAAAAATGTGATGCGATAGGCAATCGCACAGAATACCTCTTCTGCGATGGAGAGCCCAAGTAGAGAAGGACTCGGCTTCACTTGTCATATCCAATTGATGTCAGTTGGCACAGACGAGAAACGACTGGCGTGCTTTGTTAAACTCGGTTAAAATTGCTTGGGCGTTGTTGCAGCGTCAAACAGGAAGAAGAAGCCCGACTTACGAGGCACAATTAGTTTTTTGATGAAGCACTTAAGCCTTTCTCACACTCACACACATATCTCAATATCTACAAAAAATTGTAGGATCACCAGTGAAGGAAAACTCAAATACATACATACATATATACTTTAATTATATACCAAAATATAGCAATTAATTTCTTCTATTCAACAATTTTTATTGAGCTCGAGGCCGATTTCAAAAGAAAATCAATTGTGGACAAGCAATAACAATTTGTATTTTTGTGAAAAAGTTGTAGAAGTGATAGCTATTTCGGAAATCACCACATTTCCTCATCAGACTTCTTTCAGTAGGATTCCAACCGACGATCCCACTGACTCAGCCAGTTGCCTACGCACTGTGCTAAGTTCGGCTTACGAATTCTTGTTGCTTTTTCCACTATTTCATTTCGTTAAGCCAACTACAATGAAGCGCAGCTATTCCAGTGCTATTTAAACTTGATTATGTGGTTGTTGGTTTTGTTGGTTTTTGTTAATAATTGTATTATTAGAATGTTTAACTTTTAGGTGTGCTCGTCCTTGGATCGTCGGTTCGAATCCTACTGAAAGAAGTCTGATGAGGAAATGTGGCGATTTCCGAAATAGCTATCACTTCTACCATTTCTTCAAATTATTGTTGCTTTTTCACAATAAGCTTTTTATTAAAAACGGCCTCAAGCTCAATAAAAATTGTTGAATAGAAGAAGAAAAATTTTAAATGCGTTAGTCGCATGAAATACCCTACTATATTATCTGCCTTCTTCTCTCGCACAGTAAAACATATACTCTAGTGAAGAGTTAGAAAGTGGGGGAAAAGAACAAAATTTATAAAAAAAAAGAGAAAAACAGCGACTTAAAAATGTTTTGACATTTAAACCGGTTCAGAGGCTTTTAACTCGGATTTCAAATGCAGATTGCGGCGACATGCTAAAATGTCGCGGTGCTTGTTAAGTGTGCGTTTATACGTCCGTATCAAAATTAATCGATTTAAGTTCACACGAATTAATGCATCGTATAAACACCGTAAATAAAACTTTTTATGCACGCAGCAGCCCAAAGAAAAGCAGAAACCGCTAAACATTTTTTCACGGAACTTATCTTTGTATGAACAAAATAAAAAAGTCCTAGCTAATTTTAACTTTGCACTTTATTATACTGAAATTGCTGGTCTACAAAACTGCAATATCAAGTTCTTTCTGAAAAATCGAATTAAAAAGCTCGCAATTGTTAGGATATTTAGTCGAACTTTCTTAACTTTTGTACAAAGATTGAAGTTTGGACATACATGGTTTTTGACAGATAACGAGATAAGCTTTTATAAAAAAAAATAATAAAAACTAGCAGATCCGGCGAACTTCGTCCCACCCAAAATTAATATTTTTATTGAAACATTTTGGTCAAAGATTTTCACCAACAATTCACGGTCACGATTTTTATATTATGTTTTCGTGGTCGGAAGGCATACTTCCAAGGCAGTCTTAAATAACCCAACGAAAGTGTAATGTCCGCGAAGAAGTTCTTGGAATTTCCCCCAATGATCTGGCGTTCCACATCACAGTTAATCGTACAGCGAAATAAATTTGAAGAATTTTTTCCTCTCACACCCTGGCGGCAACAATGATCCAGCTAGATGGCGAATAACTCTTTGAAACAGTATAAGTATAACTCGTGGCAATTTCAAAATGGCTGGCATGGCTACATAGACTTATTTCAGACGAAATACATTAAATGCATCACAAATACGAAGTTTTAGTAGTAACTCGACTCTGAGCTACTTGGCGGGTGAATTTCTTAACCCTACCTGGTAGGTCAAATTGTCAACTGAAACTATCCAGAGACTCCCTCAAAAACACACAACGCCCCATTTTCAAATAGTCGCACTTGTCTCCATGAGTATGCCATTGCTTTCATATATCTCCATACCATGTTAGAGTCTTCAGCCTCCATCCTTGGAAATTCTGCAGTAGGTGTAGGAAATTTCAAAAAAAAAACGCTACAGCCATTATCGAGCTTTGCGAACAGAAAAAAACGGCTTTCAAAAAAAAACAAATAGAATAAATAACTTCTCATAAAAATGCAATCGCCGTTCGGAGTCGGCGTAAAACTCTCTTGTGCAACAACATCAAGGCGCACACCTATGCCGACTTCGAACGGTAATTGTATTTTTATGCTGTATTTCATGGCAGAAATACACTCGGAGGTCTTGCCATTTCCTGTCGCGGTGGACCGTTGTTAAGAAAACACCTTTATTCCATATTATTGGCGATGTTGCTTTGATAAGGGCTTGAACCCAGACGCCGCCGAGTGGATGTATATGGTTTTACCTTTAGCAAAACCAAATCATCCAAGACAGTAATTTTAAAAGGACATATTTTATTCTGACGACAGGATATATCCTATCAAAATTTGTGAAAAATGCAGTTTCGAAAACGGGTTTCTTAGGGCCTTTGTGAATTAAGGTAACGATTTTATGCTGTAGATGGTCCCATATTCGAATTCCGTCAGACATACAACCAAATTACAATAAATGGTATAAAAATTCGGCCATCTGGCAATTTTTCGTAAGGTCTGTAAATCAGTTTGATTATTGTTGAGTACGTTAAAGAAATTTTAAAAATAGATGCGGGCCATACTGGAAATAAGAGTGTAAAAGTTTTTCGAATTTTACATCAATACCGGTAATTTCTTCGAAAAGACTCGTGAATACTTTAATGTTGGGCGAAAAAATCTACATTTCTTGTTTAAGATTTTTCTTCTAGCGTCATTATTTTGCATGTTACGTCGAAGTTCAGACACGACGTAACAACTCAACTCGAAGCTTGTAGGGAAGAGAGCGACGAGGAAAGGGGACGGGTACCAAGTTGTTCGTACTCGGGCAACACGCTTTGTGCTCTCGTTCGTCTGAGTAATTCAAGTTGGATGTTCACAGCCAGTGTTGCCAGGTCTTCGGCATGAGAAAACGTCCCTCTTGGTCTGAAAAAACGTCATTTCCTACCCAAAAACGTCATTTTTAAATGAATGTACAAAAAATTGTTCTTATTAAACTTTTATTGTATACAAAGATACATATCGAACCCTAACCGCCAAAATAACGTAAGCGTCATTTTTTTCAAAATTTTCTCTTTGATGCAGAAATGCATCTAGATGCTCTAGGAATATTTCTGCATAA